TTCTGTGCTGGGCAGAATCGTCAGAATGACCCCAAGTGACCTTCACCCTTCTGTAACCTCCTCCTCTTGAGGGTGTGGGTGGAACCTGTGACCTGATAAGACACTGCTCCCATGATACAGCAAAGGGGAGATTTATAACTACACGAGCTCCTTAAAAGCAGAGTTTTCTCCAGCTGGCAGAAGGGGAAGTCAGAGAGATTCAAAGCGCAAGGCTAAGATGTACCGTTGCAGGCTTGAAGGTTGAAGTGATCACGTGAAAATGAATGCAGACAGCCTCTAGAAGCTGAGTGGTCCCCAGCTGACAACCAGCAGGAGACAGAGACCCTTAGTCCTATACCCACAACAAACTGAATTCTGTCAACAACCTTAGTGAATGTGGAAGCAGATTCTTGCCCAGTGCCTCCAGATAAGAGCTCCACCTGGCTAGAACCCTGAGTTTAGCCTTGAGCACAGAACCTGTATAGACTTAAGACCTACAGAACTGTGAGCTACTAAATGGATCTTTTAAGCTGTCATATTTCTGGTAATTTGTTACATAGCAATAGAAAACTAATACACAACCCACTTCCATTTTGAAAACCAGAAAAGCAGGCAAATACAGAAAGCTATTTTCATGAATTCAAATTAAGCCTCTTACCTTCTGAGTCTAAACACCTTTCAAACTTCAAGGATAACTGGTAGGTGTCATAACATCGAACTCGAGGTTTATATGTTCCTATAAAAGAATTAACGTGATGTAAAACCTAAAGACATACATCAATATCCTACAGATATGTTGAGTGTACTTTTCGTTCAGAGGTAGGCAGGATTAATTATAACCAATCAAAGGAAAGGAATTTAAAAGCATCCCCTCCCAAATATCCCAAGAGGAAAGTGAGTAAAAGATAACAAGTCACAGAAAATGAAAGGGAAACAACAAATAAACTTCACAAATAATCCAATAAAAGTAGATAACAACAATGAAATTATTTTGTCCATCAAAATGACAAAAATGAAAAAGATGGTTAACTTTTGTGTTGGTGAGAGTGTTAAAAATAAATACTCTCATACATTGTTGTTGATTAGTACAAATTGATACAAGTTCTTTGGAGAACAATCTGGCAGAACATGTAAAATATGTGATTTAATTAATTTTTTTTTTGGGGGGGGGGCAGCCGGCTGGTACAAGAATCCGAATCCTTGACCCTGGTATTACAATTCTGAGCTCTAACCAACTGAGCTAACCAGCTATGAAATAATCTTTTTAAGATAAAAATAAAACCAAAGTGTTCTGAATAAGAAAGAAAATGATTAATTTTGGGAGTAGAAGATGATTTCACAAAAGAAAGTGTAATTTATCAGATTTGGGGCTAGTTGTATAGCTCAGTTAGTTAGAGTGTGGTGCTGATAAAATCAAGGTTCAGGGTTTAATCCCTGTACCAGCCAGCTGGAAAAAACATTTAGCAGATTTAACCTCTAACTTAATCTGTATCCTAGTTCACAAGTACTAGATTGGTGACCTTGGACAAATCAATATTTCTAGATCTTCAACAGATTATAGGCACACAAAATCTGGATCTATAAGATGAAGAAAACAAATTATATCATTAGATTACTTCCAGTCCTCAATGAATGTGTTTAGATTTCTCCAATCCTCTATACTATTTTCTGAACATAAAATGGAGGTTAAGAGATGTGGACAGTGTTAGTAGTGAGACAATCATTAACACAGAACAAAAGAGACTGGCCTGTGTACGTATGAAGGTATCACCAAAAAAGAAAGTGGCTGGAAAAGGGGTATAGATTGACACTGTTAAATCAGTCCTAGGTATTTATCAAAGACACTCATAGGTATTTACCAAAGACAAACGAAAGCATATATCCAAAATACAGACCTCACTGGAAAAGGGGTATAGATTGACACTGTTAAATCAGTCCTAGGTATTTACCAAAGACACTCATAGGTATTTACCAAAGACAAACGAAAGCATATATCCAAAATACAGACCTCTACAAGATTGTTCATAGGGCTTAATAACAGCCAAAAAATGAAAACAGCCCAGGTGTCTATCAAATGGAGAATGGATAAATAAACTGTGGCATATCCATATAACAAAATACTATTCAGTAATTGTAGGGAAAGTAAAAGTAAATAGTCAGGATCCCTCGGGGGCTTGGAATCTTGCTGAGCACTTGATGTAAATGATAACTGTGCACGTGTGCCCAGGTGTTCCTTGGCTATTGTATGTGGATGTGCGTGGTCACCCTGGTGTTCCTGGGTTATCGGACTTAAGTATAAAGGATGAGCAGCTCTGATCCACGGGGCCCCCCTGCCCCTGGGATGATGGGGGCGTGCCACGGGGAGGCAGCTACTGCTGCTGGAGGCTGTTACTACAAGCTGTTGCTGCCAGAGCCCTCGGGACACTGGGAGGCCAACAACACTGCCGAGGAAGCCAAGGACTGAGCTCACGTTGGAATGAACATGTCAACTCTGCCAATGGTTCCCAGGGGTCTTTCCCAATTGCCTAGCTCACAACCTGTATGTGAGGGGTCTGGTGACTCAGCTAGGCACATGAGGGGTCTGTGACCCAGCCTGCATGGCATGTGAGGGGTGGGTGACCCAATCTGTACAACGGGTTTGAAGGGGTGGGTCCTAGTCTGACAGTCATAAAAAAGAACAAGCCATCAATATATATAACAACATACATGAATCTCAAATACAAAAAAAAAACACAAAAGAACACACAGTGTATGACTGCATTTATATAAAGTTCTAAAACAGGCTAAACTTCTATGGTGAAAAAAAATCAGAGCAGTGGTTGCCTCTGCATGGGTAGACACAGGCACTGACAGTGAGGGGCTGAAGGAATTTTCTGAGAGGAAAGTTCTATATCTTGACAGGGGTTTGGGTTACACAGGTGTGTGCATTTGTCAAAACTCAAATGGTAAACTTAGAATCTGTGCATTTCAGCTGGCTAGTTAGCTTAGTTGGTTAGAGCTGTGGTATTGGTAACACCAAGGTCAAGGGTTCAGATCCCTGTATTGGCCGGCTACCAAAAAAAAAAAAAAAATCTGTCCATTTCACAGTATATAAATTTTACCTATAAAAAGGCACCATAAGGGCCACCCCGTGGCTCACTTGGGAGTGTGGTGCTGATAACACCAAGACCACGGGTTCAGATGCCTATAGAGGGATAGCTGGTTAGCTCACTTGAAAGAGTGTGGTGCTGATAACACCAAGGCCACAGGTTCAGATTCCTAGATAAGGATGGCCAGTTAGCTCACTTGGGAGAGCGTGATGCTGACAACACCAAGTCAAGGGTTAAGATCCCCTTACCAGTCATCATTAAAAAAAAAAAAAGCACCATAAATAGATATCAATAAATGTTGAGCTCTAGTTAATGATAAACATGCTAAGGTATTTAGGGGTGAAGTATACTGGTATCTGAAACTTGCTCTGAAATGTATCAAAAAACAAGATGAATTGATGGATGGACAGAGACAGCTAGAAACATGATAAAGCAAATACAGTAAACTACTGCAGAACCTAGGTGGTGAAAAAATGGGTGTTCACTGTATAATTTTTTTCAATATTTCTATATGTATGAAATTTTTAATAATATTAGGGTAAAAAAAGGTGACCTTCCCACCACACAGCATTTCCTGCTACAAAATGTATGTGAATAATAACCAAAAAGATGCTTACCAGTTGCTAAAATATACTGTCCATCTTTTGACACCTTTATAGTGGTACACACAGTAGGCATTTCAAAATCCTGGATAAGTTCAATTCTCCTACGGACATCTACAAAGAGGGAAAAAAATACTAGTTTAATGAACATGTACTTATTATTATTCTCCATCACAGGAAGACAAAGAGTACTGAGCAGTCACAGCAACTACAAACAGGTAAAATGTGTCCCAAATGCTTCCAAGCCTTTGGAAAAGACACTGTACAACCCACCCCATTAAATAGCAAGGTTTTCTTCTTAGATCATACATTATTTTTCTTAGCTAAATATTTTATTTTTACTTTTCAAAAAAGAAAAAAATATCAGCATCAATTAGATTAAAAATTTCCACAATAGTCTGTCAAGCATCCAGTTTTAAGACCCGGATAAAGAGGGAACAGAATAAACATTAAACCACTATCATTACTCGATCATGATGAAGCCAAAATTTTAATAATTTTCTTCTCCAAAATAATAATAGGTTTAAGCCTCCCTAATCTTAGGTTTATAGAAGAAACTGCTACCAAGCTGACTCTTGCCTCTGTTGGCACCGCTGATCTGCAGCCAAGTGCATCTGGGCTCGAGGAAGACTTAGTTCAATATCTCTGGGTCAAAACACTAACGCTGACTCTCAAAAAAACCCATTCCTTCCTACAAGAAAGTGTGTGTTCTTGCTGGCTGCTATCATAACAATGTGCCTATTGCAGACACTATTTATCACTCTATGGTATATTATTGCTGTGTTTATTAAACCCAAATAGAAGATCTAAACCAATTGAGGAGAGGCCCACTCAATCTGGAAGGCACATATTAGTTTTGAGATCAGTTGGGAGAAATAGTCAATGAGCAATTTTTTCCCCTAAATATTCTGAATTGGTTTTGTTACACACGAGAACACTGCAGTGGGAGAGTCACATAAAATCAGAAGTTGTAAACAGTACTAAATCAGCAGTTTTTGTTTTCTTTTCATTTAAAATTTTAATTTTCTTTCTTTTTTTTTTTTAAAGATGACTAGTAAAGGGATCTTAACCCTTGACTTGGTGTTGTCAGCACCACGCTCTCCCAAGTGAGCCAAGGGCTGGCCCTTAAAATTTTAATTTTCTAACTTTAGTACTATATAAAGCTTACTTTTCCAAGACACTTGCCTTGGGGTATTTATCTCACATCCAGAAACCCCTTCAATATCTTAGGTCTTTGGTTTTTAGTGAATAAGTTAAACAAAATATATCGGAAGATAAATCTCCTTTCATAATGAATGACAAGTTGCAATAGAAAAAATTTAATAAAGATTTGTTCGCCAAAATAACTTAAGTTAAAGAATCAAAATCAATCGGATCTCCATACCAGCCAGCCACCAAAATAAAAAGAATCAAAATCTTCTGCAGTAATATCTTATTGTTAAAGCTCACACATACTATATGTAAAATTACTTTGTTCAGAAAGAAAATGCTCATGGGCCGAGCCCGTGGCGCACTCGGGAGAGTGCGGTGCTGGGAAGCGCAGCAGCACTCCTGCTGCGGGTTCGGATCCTATATGGGGATGACCGGTGCGCTCACAGCGCTCACTGGCTGAGCGCGGTGCAGCCGGTCTCAAAAAGGACAAAAAAAAAAAAAAAAAAAAAAAAAAAAAAAAAAACTC